TGGGGGCGATATGCTGACTCTGTAAACCGCTTAGAGAGGGCTGAAAGCCCTATGAATCGGTATATAAGTCGAACTGCTATTGCTATTGCTATTTTTTGTGTATAATGTAGCACGTAATAAAATTATTTGAAAAAATATATTAAAAGCACTATAGACTATGAAAACAGGTAAACCGGCAAACATTGTTATACAATAGGTTCCCCAAAAGCTTTTGAAGAAGATAGTCACCAAACAGTTGACCATTACAATATCTCAAAATCTTACAAAGATACCCAGAAAATGAAAATATCAACAAATATGATATTTATCACATTATTTTGTAAGCATTATTTATTGACAATTCACAGAAATATAACAAAATGTACCACCCATATAATAGTAATTTAGTGAAAAACATGTTTTTTACATAGAATATCCTAAACTAGTCTATCAATATTCACCTTAGGAAGAAATTAAAATAAAATATTTATCATAACTCCTGATGCCTCAATGAAAAGTTCACACTTGTTAAAAAAAAAGCACCTCAAACTCTTCAGAATATTCTTTTTTATATTCTAACACTATTATATCAAATTAATAATAACAGTCCAACAGTGCAGCATAGTAAAATAAAGTTACTCATGTTTCAATCTGCTGTTTCTATTCGGATTATGTATATTATTTACAATTTCTTCAATTCCCAGGCAATCTGATTCCATAAAAATTGGTTCTCACTGTGACATAATGATAGTACAGTGACAGCTGTATTTTGGCATTGCTTAGCTCTTCAGGGCATGTTTCATAGCTTCTCTTAGCCATTTCTTTATTTTGGCCTCATTTCCCCTTTAAATACTCATGCTGCTCTATCTGTTTCACAGGCTTATAAATGTTATACATCAAAATTTGTTTCACTTATTACAGAAGGAAACATTTTAAAGCATTCTGGAATCCATGCCTCAAAGCAAAGGCTTTATCAGCAGGTTCCCGTTACTGCTTTTTTAAGAAAGGAAAATATCAGTGATCAAAACTCTACTTGATCTCTACAGAATACTTACCCACTAAACATTCATTCATCAAATTCAAAAGAAAACAACTATATCAAGAAATTTATATATTTATTTTAAGTTGAACGTACATAAAAGCATTAGTGATACTTAGTAACTTTATTTTTTAGGTTGGAATTTGGTCACCTAAAGAATATGAAATAAAAAAGAATAGAAATCTGCAAACAATCTTATCAAATATTCAGACTACTGATTATATTTCTGGGAATTCAGAATTTCAAAGATAGTAAAGGAAACATTCTTGTTAAATGACTGTATCTCAAATAGGGGATTGACAACCTTGTTTAGAGTTCTCAGTAGAGAACAATTAATAACTGTACTTGCTGTCTATTCATCCCATCCATAAAAGAAAATAATAAATGTGTCTCAAATGTTAATTATACAAAAAGTCATAAAAAAATAAGGGCTGTTATTCTTCAGTTAACAAAAGCAATTAGGGCTACAACTGCCATTAGTAAGTGAAACAATCATAAAGCATGATGTCATGTCACCCCTTCATTTAGTGATGGCAATGCGTCCCAGAAGCCATTATTATGCAAGGAACCCACACCACAAAACTCTTTTACTTTGTACCTTGGCACTATATTTTACTGGTTTATACAATATTTCAATTAAGATTGAAAAATTAGTTTACTTAATAAACTCATTTAAAATACAGTTAATGAAAAATATATATTTGATGAACTATACATAAAATACAATATAGTTTACCATTTAAATATAAGAACAAAATCTATTACAGTTATGGTAATTTATTTATAGGCTATGACATCAGATTGTAAAGAAGATTTCTTAATTTAGAATTAAAACAGGTTGGCCTCATTCTTTTGTATTATTATGGAACACGTACAATATTCCTAAAATGATATACTAAAAAACCCGTTGTCCAATTTATACTGCTCAATATATATTGCCATTTCTCAATTTTATACCAGTGATCCAGATGGGTTGCTCCCGGTTTTACTATCAGTTCGCTTTGCTTGTGCATTTGCAAGACGCATGCTATGCACACGTGCAGTTCAATGTAAATTGTTCTTCGTACATGCGCAGAACAATTTACAATGAACTGCGCACATGTGCGCACTACGGCAACAGCAGTAGGACTGAGAAACTTGTTCGGGAGTGTGGCCAGCTGGGTCACTGCCGATTCTGCGACCCAAGCCAAAATACTACAAGTTCAGCCGAACCAGGAGCAACCCACCTCTGCTGCGGTCCCCATAATACTAAAGCATATTCAAATCTAGCATGAACTAGTGTCTAGAAGAGGATCAGTAGAGCAACTTGGCCATCTGGCTTTTAGAACTGTTGGATCCAAGTATTCATTTAAAACTTGTCTATTGCATTCTGGCACAATTTAGTTATTCCAGGCTCGTGTATCACAAATTTCAATTGAAGCAATTAAGAAATAGAATATATCCACAGGATTTCCCAAATAACTCCCGCAATTCCCAAAAATAGTAACTTAAAAACCGTTCCATAAAACAATTGCAAATTATGTCTAATAATATTTATTACAATATTGAAACTATAACAAAATTATAACTTACCTCTCGAGTAGCTAATCTATCACTTAATTCCTCAGCTTGGGCAATATTACCGTCAGCTACACATTTGTCTATACTGATTTCAAGGCCAGACTAGAAAACATACCAAAAAGAGAGAGAAAAATGAATGGTTCTCCTAGAATACTAACTGAACATTATAAAAATGTATTAAATAATCTATCAATTCCAAAATAATATGAACTTCACATCTGTAAATTTCATATATAGCAAATCAAATGCAAAAGATAAAGAAAGAAAGTAGATTAGGAAGCTATGACTGAGTAGGGCCCAAACTCTGCTAACTTAGAAGACACATCCATATAGTTTTCTTGTCAAAAAAACCTGAAGTAGCTTGCAATTGGGATATTCTTTTTGGGATATTCTTGCCAACTTTACAGCTTACTGAGTAGTCTTGGAATGTCTTCCATCCAAGTTGGAAGCAGGTCTGACCATAAGTGGGTTTTAATTTCTAATTTGAATTGCCCGCCCTATTGATAGTTACAGAACTCTTGTATAACAACAAACTTTTGTATTATTTTCACTTTACTTTTTAAATAAATTCAGCATTTGAAAATGTCAACTAGTTTAGGCATATCATAATAATATTTCATTTCAATACCTGATATATACATTTCTTTCCTGAACAAAATATGGCATATCTGGATCAACTGCATGAAAAATCCAAATTACCACTGTATCTTTGCAATTCTTAGTTTTTATATTAATCAAGAAAGTGATTTCCAAAATGCCACCTCTCATTTATTTTACTATTGAACTCAAACCTATTACTTGTCAGATGTAGGAAAAGGACACACTTATAATTTTTAAAATCAAACATTAAGAATAAGTTTTAAAAAACAGCAGCAAATCCTAAATTATCTTAGCTTTTACGATCAGGTGGTCCTTGACTGATAACTGCAAGTGAGTTGTATTAAATTTTATGACCTTTTTTGCCATGGATGTTAAGCAATCACTGTAGTTATTAAAAGAATCACATCGTCAAGTGAATCTGGTTTCTTCCATTGACTTTGCTTGTTGGAAGCCAGCTGGGAAGGTTGCAAATGATGATCACATGACCCAGGAATACAGCAACTGTCATAAATACATGCCAGCTGCCAAGTCTCTGAATTGTGATCATGTGTTTGTGGAAATGCCACAATGGTTGTAAGTGCGAGGAACAATTGTACACCACTTTTTTTCAGTAGAGTTGTAACTCTGAACGATTGCTAAACAAACATAAATGCAAATCAAGTAGTGCCTTAACAAAATGTCAGATTTTTATCCCTAAAACTCTAGTTTAGGTTTACTGATTTGTAATATAGATGAATAACAGGCAAAAAAGAAATAGAACACTGAATATAAGTTTATTAGAAGAATAATTATGTTTTCCAATTAAATTTAAGTAACCAATATAAGCCTTACCATATTAAGTGGTACCTGAGTAATCTTGCCTTTCTTTTTTGTTAACCATTCTTTTCTTTTACTTGGGTCTTTCTTAAACCATGAGTTTAAAAGTGGGGATTTTTCTTTTTTCTTACTGATCCATTAAATGAATTTTGTTTCAATTGATGTGTGAAAATGAAAGCTTTAAATGAATATGTACATTTTATACTGACATATATCACTGACCATGGAACACCAGAAGATTGTACTCTTATTCTTAGTCCAAAACAAAAGCACAAGATCAACCTGGTCAAGGACCTTATTTCTCCCATTCTTGCTTTACTTTGGCCACACCAGCACATGAATACACAGCTAAAAGCTGTTTGATTATTTTCATCTAATTTCCATGTATTTTGGTGTGCTGAAAACAAATAAAATATTGAAAAAACT